CTCGGCGTGTTGAGAGAGCCGAGTCGAGGAGCCGAACTAAAGTGATTGTGTTGCTGGTGCCAGGAAAGCATGTTATCGGTGGTCAAAGACAACGCGGCCCAGTTGTTGAAGCAGTTTGGGCTTGAAGATGACATGGACCGAGTGTTGATGTGCTCATGCGCTGTGCTCCGATCGAAAGCCTTGCAGCGTGCAGGATCAAGGAGAAGAGGATGTGGAAGAAACGGAGCTGTTGGAGGTGCTCAGACCGCTTGTAACAGCATTGAGGAGTGAACCAGCAGCTCCAAACAGTTGCTGATTTTTGAGTCTCCTCGCCGTATTCAGGGCATCTTCAAGAAGTTCGCGCGACTTGCAAGCCTCGCGGCCGGGCGCAATGAAGCCACGGCTGAAGAGCTGGCAGGTTCGTTTCACAGCAGTTGCTGTTGCACTGCCCGTGAACTATGAGCTTGTGTAGGGCATTGGCATACCCCGCTGGCCCAGAGTATCCACGAACCACCTGCAGGAATGGATGAGTCAGCACGAGGAGTCATGATGGACATGATGAACGTACAGGCTGAATGGAATGTTAAGGGATGCTGAGAGCGATGACCTGTTCAAGATGCTGGCAAATCGCAGGTGGCCCCGGCTACGACAAGCGATGCAGCTGCGTCTAGCTCTCTCCGCAACAGTGCAAACTTCAGACACAGCCAGAGACGAGAGCTTGCTACCTTGGACCCCGCTTGTCAAGTTCGTGCATCGACTTCCAAGGTGGAATTTCCCACCCCAACACTGGGTCTGAAGGTTCGGTGGAAGCCACTGATCTCGTCTTCGCACTTAGTGACTTCGTGGTTTTTTGGCCAGGTCTAGAGGCGGGTGAAATGTCGGCCATGCTGGACTTGCCGGATGTGCCCGTTGTCAGTTCAATGCCTGTCTCAAGGCTGGGGGTTGCAGGGTTGCCTCCCTCCGAGAATCCTGACGTGCCTTGATGTGCAGGGACACTGTGGAGTCTTGGGAGTTGGATGTTCTGTCGATGGACACCGATGCCCAGACGAAGGCAAGAATGCGGATCATGTCGGATTGATTGTGCTCGGATTCTGCGGAAACTTGGTGCCAGGTTGCGCTTCATATTTTCTTCGACTCCTTGGTTGGACGAACAACGGGTCGATACTGGACTGAGGCTACAGCTCGGGATGCTGTTGTGATTTGAGCTGTGGACTTGTGACTGGCTGTGCTCCAGGCGGCGACGTTCAAGCGTTTCCACTCAGTAGTCAAAGCTGGTTACAACGACCTTCCATACCACAATTATTCCCATGCATGTGATGCAGCTTGGCTTGCACTCTCCCCCGCTGCTTTCGACAACACAGTGCATCTTGAAAAGCTGAGGTGCTGCACACCGTTTACAGATTGCTTTGTTTGTCGGCCTCGAGCAAGTGGCTGGGAAGTCTTACTCTCAAGCTCGTTTGTCGGGGACGGTTCTGGCAACACTGAGCTATTTGTGGTGGATGTGTTGGACACTGGAGGTGTTGACCAGTATGCACTTCTAGTAGCAGCACTCTGTCACGACATTGGGCACGCCGGACGGACGAACCCGTTCTTGGCCCGGCCCTCGAGCATGTTGCCCAAAGTGACAGTGGCGTCTGCGTCGGCTACTTCTCCACAGGTAGAGCTGGGGGATGAGCTGGCGCTGCGGTACAACGACAAGCAGGGGGCTGAGTGGCTCCGCCTTGCCAGGCTGCTCAGACAGGTTGCTCTGCGGCTCGCTGCAGGTCCCCGCTGGAGAACATGCACTGTGCGAAGCTGTTTGAGATCGCCTCCAAAGAAGAGTCGGATGTCTTCAAGCAAATGGACAAGGACACAAAGAAGCAAGCGAGGTGCCTGTTCTTGCCCATGTCTCTCGTGCCACGGGTTGTGGAACACGTTCCAGGCGGGTCTGTATCGCGTCGATCCTTCACACAGACAATGCCAACCACTTTGACATGGTTAGAGAGATCAGCAAGGCTCGAGCTGGTTGGTGGGCCGTGGGGCCGTTAAAGGTTCACAGTGCCTCAGCCACTCTTCTGCAGATCTACGAGTTGACGTCGGAAGTGTGCAACGCGCAAGCTCGTCACCCAGATCTGCTCCCCCAGTATGTCGAGCAGGCGAGATCGCGAGTTGGCTGCAGTGTAGGAAGAGGCCTGACAAATGCCACCCTTGTCAGGTCATGCAGAAAAATTGCATGCAGTGGGTAGAGCTCTTCTTGCACTTTGCGGACGTGTCGAACCCCTTGAAGCCTTTTGACGTCTCGGACCCGGAGCGACTGAGACATGCGGTGAGCGGGATCCTTCAGTATGACGCACAAGCAACAGTGGCTCGCCGACTCAGATCTGCAAAAAATGGGCCTGGCGGGTGCTGGATGAATTCTTCGAGCAGGGTGATGAGGACCCCGTGGTTTGCACAAGATTTCGTCCCGAGGAAAGTACACCACCCAGCCGTTGCAGGAGAAGCGTTTAAGCCTTCCCGTTGGAATGCTGAACGACCGCGACAAGATTAATCGGCACAGATCTCAGTTTAGCTTTTTGCAGAGAGATGGGAAGCTGGCACCGGGCCGGGCTGCCTGGGACCCGCCTTCGGAATCATAGGCCTGGCTCGCAGCACGGCTTCATCCAATTCCTGGTCGCACCCCTCGTCTACACAACAGCAGAGACCCCGGAATCACAGCAGCTCGCGATAACCCGCAGAAGACCTTCGGGCTGCACGGCCCTGTGCCTGCAGGTGAAGATCTTCCCCGAGCTCCATCCGGTGCCTTCCTCAGACTATCTCTTCTTGGGGTCTCGCCTTCTTCCAAGTGGTCTCATATTGTGTATAGATATATATAGAAAAAATATATACACACACATATATGTAGACATATATATATATATATATTCATTCTTATTATATATTATTATATAGATAGATAGAAAATGTATGTACTGCGGGCCGCATCTAAGGTATATTCACAAATGGCGGAGAATTTGGACCAGTGGAAGAAGATTTGGGTGGAAGAAACGTCACCAAGTGATGAGGCACAGATTGGTTTTGACTAATCAAGACCTGCGGAGCAAATGTCCGGCCAGGACATCGCGAAGAAAGAAGCCGACGTGGCAAAGATCAAGGATCACCTGCTTGCTCTTGTGGCGGGACTAGCATTCGTCGCTGCGGTGTCATCCTTGATGCTTTCCCTGCTTCAAATGCTTTCAAGCCTCCAGATTTCCTGTACGGTTCGAGGAAATTGGTAAAGGACTGTATCTGTTGTGGTTTAACCCAGCATGATTGTGGCCAACACGTGTTAAGGAGCAGTGGAGCAACCTGTGGTACTTAGACCCGAGCCTGCAAGTAAGCAGTGCTAGCGGATGCAGTTCCGTGCTTTGTCATCCGTCCCTGGTGAAAGTCCAACCGGAAACAGCAAGCGCACGTCAATTTCGAGCTTTTCCCGGGTGACAGACCGTGGATTCAAGATTCACCGGAGAGTTTCCATGGAAGGGCTTCGCACAAGCATGCACTGTTGCATGCGTACATAATATAGAAGGAAGGCGTATTTACGTCGTCTGCTGGTTCAGACGTGCATGTACACACACACACACACACACGCACACGCACGCCCGCACACCCGCACACCCGCACACCTGCACACCCACACACCCCCACACCCCCGCACCCACACACCCACGCACCCCACACACCCACACACCCACACACCCACACACCCACACACCCACACACCCACACACCCACACACCCGCGCAACAAACGAGCAAAAAAACAAACAAGCGATCGAACGAACGAAGGAACAAACGAACATTCTACACTCACATAGATGCATGTGTACGTACATACATGCGGACGTACATGCGTGCATTCGTACATGCATACAGCTCGTGCACACACAATACTTCCATACATGTGTACAAACATGTAAGAACATATATGGACACGACACACGCACGCACGCGTGTACGCATCTGTTAGCCACATAGGCAGCAGTGAGCAATCGGGCTCCCAAACAGGCTCCATTGGATGGAGAGTTGGCAAAGCGTGTGTGATTGCTCGCGAGTCCTCTTTCTGATCTTTCTGCTACTGCCAGGATCAAGCCATAGAGCTTGAAACTCGAGTTATTTGAGGTTCACCGCTTGAGTGTCGGCTTGATTGGCTTTTAAGCTTGAGGATCGAGGCAACTGTTTTTGATGCTGAAAGGTCGCTAACGCAGTGAGGAAATGATGGGCGTCGCCTCTAAGAGGCTGGAGCGGGCATTCTGAGTCCTTGTCTGCATTCGCAATCTTCTATTGGGAGCGGCTGTGAGCATCTCGTTGCTTGTCAGGGCTCCCGTCTACCACAGTCACAAGGACACAGCGTGTTGCTGCACTGAGCCTCCCTGGCTCGCGCTCTTCACTCTGCCGAAGCCAGAAACCTCACAAAGTGAAGGTTGCTACCTGGCGATGCAAAAAATACGACATGGCATGAACCGGGCACTCGAGAATCCTCTCGGCAGTTACATTCCTGTGACAGGGGGAGGCCATATGTGAGAAGCACGATAGGCCAGCAATGTGCCGTTTCAGAAGCCCCTCGAGACAAGTGAAAACTAATGCACGAGCCATGTTGCTGTGCTCAAACTTGTTCACACCCGGCCCTGAAGGGGCTAAACTCTGAGAATTATTGCCATCGAAATTGAAAAGCTTGGCTCCTACTTTGATCCGCGCAGTTCCGCTGGAATGAGCTGAAGGTTTGATCCAACCAGCGACTCAGTGAATGTTTTGATCTGCTGCCAGAGGGAAAGGTAGGTAGGCAGAGCGTGACTGCCCAGAACAACAAGGCATCGCTTGTGCATTTCACGGTGCCACTGCCCACTTGCTGTCTGCGCCGTTGTGGCATCCAGCCTTGTGAGGTGTGCCGGCCTGATTCTGGCATCTAGCCGGATACACAGCGGATGAACACATAGCCAGGCCTTCCACCACCATGCATGCTTTGGACTCAGATGCCTCGCATACAGGTACGCTGCTGGCCCTGTGATGCAAGGCACCCAAGGCATGGAAAGCATGGGAGACGGCAGCATGGGAAACCCAGCCAATGGAGCGAACGGAATGGCTGGTGGGTGTGGCTGTGGCGGCTGCGGTGGATGCGGCTGTGGCTGCGGCTGTGGACCCTGCTGCGGAGGTTGTTGCGGGTTTCCATGCGGAGGAATGATGGCCATGCCGATGATGGGCATGCCAATGATGCCCATGATGAACCCTATGATGGGGCTCATGGCCGGCATGGCCAGCATGGCCAACATGGCTAAAGCTGCCAAGGCAGAAAAAGCTTTTCGCTAGTGCTTTCTACGACGTAGCTTGTCGTTCGTAGTGCTTCGAGGCAAAGAAGAAGGCCCCCGAGCCTGAGGAAAAGAAAGAGGAGGAAAAGGAAGCCGCACCAGCCGTGGAAGCTTTCAACCCAGAGGAGCCAAGCCAGTGGAGTGAGGCTGTTGAAAGTAAGAGCGTGTTCTGGAGCGGTTTGGTTGGAGTCACGAGCTGAAAGCAAGGAGCTGCAAAAGCGCCTGCTCATGGCCCAGTCACAGCGCTTCGCCGAGGCAGGTCGGAGCAGTGGCTTGGGTACCTCGAGCTCCGATCCCCCACACGGGGGTCCCGGCAGGTGGCGAAGCAGGACCAGGACGATGAGGAGAAGAGCCAGGATGCAACTCGGCTGCCCGGGGTCTCATCTCACTTGCGCAGTCTTGCACCTCTCGTTCTGTCTAGGATGGTGAGCATTCAGACAGCGGCAGTGAGAAAAGTGAAAAGAGCGAAGCTGAAGGAGGAAAAGAGGCCACTGCTGTAAGTCAGAGGATGTTGTGCATTTTACCAGCCCTCTGGCTGGAAGGAGAACGATGCCAAGAAGTCGGAGGACGAGCCGATGAGCGAGGACGAAGCTCCGCCACCTCCGCCAGAGCCTCCCCAACCGCCTCCGCAACAACCGGAAAAAGCTCCCCAACCCATCGAACCCCAAGACCCCTCACCGGCCCAAGCGCAGAAGGGTCCGGCCCCAGCCCCAGCCCCAGCCCCAGCACCAGCACCCCCTCAACCCCCGCAGGAACCCACCAAGCAGGCCAACGCGGGTAAGGCTCCTTCGGCCCCGCCGCAAAAGGCTCCTTCGGCTCCTTTGACATGGCCGGGCCCTCCTCCAAACACTGACAGAATGGACCCGCGAATGCAGGAAACCCTGCAAAAGCTCCAAGCGCTCCAAGGAGGAGCGCTGGGACAGGAGGAGCAGAAAGCCAGGCGTATGAAGGCTGCGACTGCGGCAGCCGAGGAGATCAAGATGTCTCTGGAGATGAAGAGCTCCGAGCCTGGCTCCGAGTCAAAAGACTCAAAGGAAAAAGACAACGACGGCAACGACGGTTCGGAGAAAGGCTCCGACACAGCCATGGGTGTCGTTATCCATTGGAGCGGCGTCAGAGGTTTTGGAATTCTGCGTTCGCAGACTCATGGTGAGGTCACTGTCAATGCCAAGGCTCTCATGAACACCTCCGAGCTGGCCGTCGGGGACGTTGTCACTTTCGAGCTGGGCTTTGACAAGAAGAAGAACAAACCGGAGGCCAACAGCGTCTACAAGTCCGGTGCAGGTGGTCAGAAGTCCAGTGGTGACCGCAGTGACGCGGCGAGGACATCCACCAGCAGTTCAGCGCCTGGCACTGCCAGCAACGGCCAGTCCAAGGCAGATGCCAAAAGTGAGAAAGCAAAGGATGCCAAGGAGAGCAAGGAGAAGGAGAGTAAGGAGAAGGAGAGGAAGGAGAGCAAGAAGGAGAAGAGTCAGAAGAGGAAGTCGCGCTCACGACGGAAGTCTTCTTCCTCCTCCTCGTCCTCCTCTTCGTCTTCCTCCCGCAAGCGGAGGAGAAAGTCTCGCTCCCGATCCCGCTCACGTCGCCGTCGGCGGTGACAACGTGAGTTCCTTCGTCTCTATTGGCCCAGCATGGCCCAGGCATGCTTGTGTGAAATAGCAGTAGCCTATACTGGCAGCTTTGAGCGCACGTTCTGAGTCTGAGGCTGCAGCCGAACGTGCTGTTGCCATTCTGAGACGGTGAGACGAGCAGTTAGCGCAAGTGTACTTAATCGGCAAACGCCACCCGTCAAAAACTCAGCATGCATCCTGATGCCTGCTTTCAATGTTTTTAGAGTTGCCTCGCCGGGCTAGACTTGAATCCAATGGCATGACATGACATGCTGCCGTCGCTTGCGAAGCCAGGAAGACCAAGCAGTCCATTTTCTAGGTTTCCTAGTCGCAGGTGTTGTGCCAGGCACCCTTTCAAGGTAAGCGTGCCCTTGGGTCAGACCTGGTGTAGAGCAGACATGGAGGCGGACCGCCATGGATTCAAATCGCGTGCCGGCAACCGATGAAAGACTTCGCATTGTGGTGCCTGGGCAGATGGGATCCAGGTCGGCAGGCTGTAGTGATGAGGGCTGTAGGTGGTACTGTAGCAGGCTTGGGGAAACAAGCCGACTTTGTGCACAGCCCTGTTTCCACTGTGTTTCGGCGGCTCATCTCATCTGGAAGTGCTTTTTTTGGCCATCCGAGGCATGACTCCTGCTGGCGAGGCAAGGTTCACAGAGGGAAGCCGCGTGATTCTGCACGGCTTGCGCGCCAATGAGATCTTCAACAACAGAAGGCGGGAGATCGGAGACCACGAACAGCATGTTGAGTTGATCCGGAGCAACCTGTTTTGCAGGGGCAAAGTTCTGAAGAAGCTCGCCCTACAAAACTCGCATGGACCCATTGCGGCTTATGAAATCTGCCTGACAGATGGTCAGCTCGTGAAGGCTCGTCCTTGCGGTGCCACGGGCTTGTGTGCATTGTCGGCGTGCGAGGCCTTGGATGCGAATCTTGATCTGGCCCCGCCTTTGGCCGACGCCGAGGCCGAGGAGGAGCGAGACCCTGAGCCCTGGGCACGGGCATCTTCGTGACCTGCCATATGATTCTGTTGCGACTATTCGAGCCCGGTGTATTCATGGGAAAGGTATGGAAAGGCCATGGCGTAGTGCAATCTTCTTCTCCGAAATATGATTCCAAGCCTGCAGGATGACACACCCTCCGAATCTCTAGGATTAAGATTGGTGCATTGAATCATTCAAGAAGAGTTGACTGGTTGGCATGCTCCACCTGGCCTCGGATGTTGCTACGGATGGGGAGACTATTCTGATGGTATGATTGTAACCCTGCTTAGTGAATCGCTCAGGATCACGAAGGAGGCCTCTGAAGACACAAACCCAACCCTCAAGCTGAGTGACTACGTGTCCTTGGGGCGCCGACTGGCTCTCTCTCAGCTTCCTTTTCATTCGATCGTTGGCTTCTGCCGCTCATGGCAAACTCGGTCTCTCTTAGGCCACTTCTGTGCACACGCCATGGTTATGAGGCTTCGGCTGAAAAACAACTGCCACAGGAACTCATGCCTTGTGCCAGCATCCTTGTAACATACACGTGCCTGATTGACTCCACCCCGGATCCATGCAGGAATCTTGGAGCGATGACGGGAGTGACCATGTCGACAATTTCGAGAACCTGGTGCACCAACGGCCTATGGCCATTGCACAGGGGCGCGGGATTCTTATGCTTTACTTCTCAGGAGCGGGCGAAGTTGATGGAAGAGCTCTTCCATCTGCTTGACCAGTCGCAAGAGGGAACTCTGAGGCCCTTGAGCGACTCGCCGGGCCAGGCGTTGTGGGGACGCTTCGCGCCTTGGCAGGTCTCAAGCTCTCCATCACCTGGCCGTGGCATGTGGCTTCGAGGGAGGAGCTCTTAAGTGGGAGCCCTGGGGGCCCTCTGAGCCCTCTGAGCCGTTTTCGCATCGGTGTTTTCGCTGAGCCCTGGGCCTGGAGTTCTTAGCGACAGGTGGGAAGAAGAGTACCAGGCAGCACTGCCACTGCACTGCCACTGCACGCCACTGCACTGCACTGCATCCTTGGGCTGGGAGGGGATGTGGAGGCCCTGTGCAAGCTGTTTCGCACCTCGCCGGCGGCTGGCTTCCAGCAGATGGACTTCGCCAAGCTCCTCTCCAACGAGGACAGAGTCGGACAGAGTCGGACAGAGACTCCTCAGAACTCTTGCGCTTGCCTTGGCCGAGGCCCTTCCCACGTATTGTCCAACAGACGAATTGGCCGACCTTGTCTCAAGCACTCGCCAGCACATCATTTCTCGTCAAGAGCAAGCCACGTCCGTGACTCGGGACGTCGCTTGCATCTACCCAACCATGTTGCATGGCGCGCCGTGGTGTTTGTCACGGTCTCAGGCCAAAAGAAGATGAGAAGCGGCTGAAGGACATGGCCGGTGACGGTAGTTTAGCTCGGAACCTCAGTCAGCTAGGACCTAGGAGGTTGAGAAGCTTGGCACCCTGGCAGGCGGAGCAGTATCGCAAGGACGCTGTCAAGTTCATCTTTAAGAGCCTGGACATGGATGGCGATGGATTTCTGAACGGCTCGGAGATGCAACGGTTTGCAGAGCTGTGCGGCTTTGATGACGAATGGGAAGTGGAGTACGAGGTGCCGGTTTATTCTCAGCGTCCCCATGTCTTCTCATTGTTGTACTTGCCTGGAGCCTCAGTCTCCCTATCTCCCCGAAAAGTCGTGAAGGCCTGTGGGGTTCGAGCCTGATTCGAGAGTTACCGTACAGGCTTGCGGCAGTGCTTGCGGTATTGCCAGGTGATGTGCGAACACATGGGCATTGACAAGGAGCATGGCGCAAGTTTGTCTGACTTCCATCGAGTGGCAACCTGGCAGTGGATAGTTTTTGGCCTCGGTCGACCAGCCAGCGAGCATCGCCTTCGTCAGGCATTCACTGTAAGACCGGCTTTGCGAAGCCTCGTCTCGTAACGAAATCCAGAAGCGTCTTAGAGGTTGCTTGCACCACTACTAGGTTCAGGTCATCGGACAGGACAGGCCAGGGTTCGTCAGGGCAGGGCTGAAAGCACACCGGTGAAGACCCATTACCAGTTCTCACCAGTCATGGGTTGCAGTGTTAGGACGGTGTACTTCTGCTTGAACCGAGGTCAGCGAGCGAAAGAGCCATGCCTTCTGCACCCGCAAGGAGAGCAGCCGAACTCGTGCTGGTTAAGCCCAAGCCCTGTCACCCCAAGAACGGCAACACAATCCCCACGGTCCGCTCGACTTTGCAGCAAACCCCAGAACACGCCACTCCCACATATCCCACGATTGCTGGAGGCGAAGCCGCGGGTCGCATCCTAAATCTGTGTTGCGAGTACATATTCGAGCGCAGGAAGGCAGGTCGCACCTGCAAATTGCGGGCTGTTGTTGGAGCCCAATGCTACTACCAAAGCAACGTCGGGGCATTTGAAGACCAAAACGAATGCGGGACTGGCGGGAGCAGACTCCACCCCAGAATACGTCTGTGGGGAGTGCGATTCAGCAAGTTCGGGCAAGACGCCAAAGAACGCGATTCTGGTCGCCGCTGCCGCCCAGCAACAAGATCTCAGTAAGCTTGCACGTAAGAACCCCATGGCCCCATGGTGTTACCAACCTGTTCGGGGAACAGAAGCGATGCAGCGAGACGGAGCCTGAACAGACCCGCACAGGAGCACTTAGACGTGCTTCTGCATGCAGGAGTTGCGGAACATCGCCAGTCAGATACGAGATCGGTTTCTCGGGATGCAATAATAAGCTCAGGCGGATTTGTCGCCGTGCTTTCCAGAAGCTGAGGCGCGAGTCGATCTCCCGCAAGCAAGCCGCCATCCGAATCCAGGCATGCACACGGGGCAGTCTCACACGGAACCGGCTGCAACGACAGCAAACCGTCGCACCAGCCGTGCTAGCCTGAGGTTTCAGTGCATGCAATAGCAATCAATGCATGCGGCTGGAAGTAGGAGTTCGACCTGACTGAGGTGAGTTCTACTCCATCTGTGGTTTTTCCTGAAGAGAAGAGCCGCGGAGTGATTGACGTGCCTGAGCCTCCAGCTGCTCCTCCCGAAAGCTGGACGCTCAGTTTGCTGTAGTGAGCGTTCTGCAAACACTCGTGTTGTCATTGAGCCGAGGCGAATCGGAGGACCTCCGTCCTGCTGATCTCATGCTTCTAAGTCTTTAAGACAGGATGAACTGGATTGTTGCAAGTCGCAAGGGGCTTGTGGGCACTTTCGACGGTTGGCATCTGTCCCTTATCAGCTGGCTATGAGGACAGCTGCTCAAAGGCGTGATCCACTCCTCGTCGATGAACAAGAGTTCGGTAGCGAATCTCTAGCGCTAATGGCACCGCACCGCTGCAACCAGCAAAGCTGACCAAGCGGCGTGAGAATGAGGCAGTGGCTTCAGCCACTCTGGCCAAAGTGCTGCTGCCGATGTGATTCTTCGGCCTGCAGCCAGAGTGATTGTGGGAAGAACAAGCCTGCGGCCCCTTTTTGCAGCACCCTCTTGAACGCCGCACCTTTACCTGCTCGTCTCGGCCGGCTCAAAAAGGCCAGCCACGGCGCGGTTTCAACCCCAGGTTTATTGTCAGCTCACTGCGACAGCAAGGTGGCCAGTTTAGACATGGCCTCGAGCCCGCGCCATGCCCGTGCTGAATGGAGAGAAGAGCTCAGGCTCCGAGATCGCGGAATCCCAGCCCCCCAAAGACGGACTGGGCTGCAGCGCTGGGGACTTTGCCTGTGGGGCACCCAGCTCTCTGAGCAGTGCGAAGCCGGAAACACATAAGATGTGTTGAGGAGTGGCTCGTGCAAGTTTCCCAAAATCGACTCACACTTTGATAGCAGCAGTTCCAGAGAAACCTACAGGTCTCTCTCTGAATCGAAAGTAGGCTGCCTGGAAAGCCTGAATCTACTTGCTCTGGCTCCTTGCTTTTGTGACTCTCAAGTGTTTTCTGCAGTGTGACACAATAGGCGAGATGGGTGACCACCAAAAAGTCGGAGCAGAGAAGCTTGGAATCTGCATGCTGTGTCGGCC